TTTTTTTCTCCGAATTAAGAAATAACACTTTACCGTAGCTAAATATTTTATGAGCCCATTGTTCAAGGGGAAAAAAAGGAATTAGATAGAAATTCTCTGTTTCTTTGATAAAAAAAATAATTTCAATCACTATGAAAAGGAATTCCTTGTCATTTTTCTTTCCAAGTATTTTTTTAAAATGTACATAAAGTTTTCCTTCTTATATATCTCTTGAATTCCTAAAAATAAAAACAAATGTGATTTCTCATGACTTTTTAATTTTTGCGGAATGCGTGCTTTTCTGAGAAAAAGTTATTATTAATACCAAATAGTTTTATGTCTAGCATTATTTTTTTTTTATAAATTCTCAATTAAAATTTTTTCACTTTTCAAACGTTTGAATCAAATGAAACTGTTACTTTTTCATCATTCTGTCAAAAGCAAATGTTCTTTTTGTGATATTAATGATAAATGCTTCACTTGGAGTTTTTTAAAGCTGTGAATGTCTTCCTACCTCATTCAGCTTTACAGCCATCTTAAAGTGTAATTAAATATTCTATAAGTTTAAACACCAATTAAAGATACATGAGAGAAGTACAGCACAGCTTATTAGCCACTACAGGATATACAAGATAGATCTTTCTCGAAACCAAATCACTGAAATCACCGAAATCACTCTCAATTATAGCAGATTCGATACTTATTATTCTGATCAGGAGTCACTTCCAACTACTTTCAATAGTATTTACGATGATTCACTTCAATCTATAGCATTTAGAAACAATTCGTTATCCTTTATCTCCCTTTACTTTACTTTCAGTGCTATTTCCTTTATATATCTTTATCTCTAATTCAATGCACTGAACTTTTTTTATCTTCATCTAATTTACCTAATCACGTTCCATTTTGTTGGTTTGAGCAATTCAAATTACCAAAAACTCCCTGAAGTTAGGGAAGAAAAAATCTCGAGTAGTCTAGAGTCACAAATTTACAGCAGTCGCCGCAATATCTTAAACGCCAGAATTGTCCACTTTCTTTTCGTTCTTTGACAGGAAAAAAGTCAAATCTTCTTGTTTATTCAAATATTTTAATCGTTCTGTAAACGCCATGATCATGCATTGGTCTACGTCTAGCATTTTTTTCTCGCCGGAATTTTCGAAGAGGTGTTGTAGGGTTGTTGTTATTTTTATGAAATAATTTTATGAGAAGAGCATTTTCTTTCAAAGTTAACATTTTCTACTGAACGTAGTATCTTAATGCTTTTCAGCAAAAAAATTCTTGTTAGTATCAAAAGAACCAGACACTAGTTACCTTGTTTTAAATCTTAAGTTAACATGAAAAGCATTTAAGGGTTTTTAAGTTGTGACATCACTGCCCCTCTACGGAGTTTGTCAAAGATTTGAATAAATCAGGTATCTTCTTCAGTGATTTTAGAGTAAAAAAAATTCAAATGAACAAATCAATTTTACGTAAGTAATAAAAACAATCTGCCCCCCCCCCCTTTTATTTTTCTTCCAGTTTTCACAGAGCTCATCACTTATAATACATATTTGTGAAATTATGTTTCGTTTGGAGCCACATATATAACCGGTTCTAAAACCTTCTGAATAAGCGAATTTTAATTATAACAGCATTATATGTATGTATGTATACCGTATTTTTCGCGCACTTTTAATACAAAAAATAAGATTGAAATTTACGAGTGCGCGTTATATGCCGTTTTTAAAAATGATAAATTGAAAATAAGGCAAGGATTAGCATAAATGTGTTAGATTTCAACATGTACCAAGTCGCAGTTTATTTAAAAGAAAAGACTTGCCACAGGAAGATAAAAAAATCTACTGGCAAAACCATGCTGCCGGATGATTTCCAATATATATGGAAAATTTAATGACTGCATTTGAATCCCAATTAAATTTGAAACAAATTTAATGACTGCATTTAATGTTTACTTCGTTTGGTGAGACTCATATTTACTATTAAAAAGAACACTAGATCAACGGTGTTTAAGCCAAAGCAAATACGATTTACTAAAATATTCGATATTCACTTCAAAGTCAAGGCTTCAAATGAATGGAGAAAGAGAAAATATCTTATTCTTAATTCTGCGAATTCTTTCGTGTAGAAAATGCTATCTAACCCCAAATTATGCCCCCCTTTTTTCTCGAAAATCTAGAATAACACTCTTCTATTTACTCTCTCATGCATTTACCCACCTACATATTGTTCCCATATCGCCTGTCAATTCAATATAATATTGTTTGAAGGTCTGGGAAATTAATGCGAAAGAATAACTTCAAGTAATAAGAGCATCGTATGTGTAAGAAAAAGGAGGCGCGTTTTATGGCGAATACTCTTAAAAATTAAAATACAGTGTGATTGTAATTAAATGTCACATAAAAAAGGCCGGGAACAAAGAACCAGTGGTCAGAATGATCAGAATGTTGTGAATTTGTTGCGTAACGCGTGTTTTCAATTCAGTTAAGTTTGTAATCGGAACCGTTTTAGATAACCCAAAAGACAGAAGTCGCAAGGGGTCAGGATAGGTGATTGTGGCAGCCAGGCTATTGGGAAAAGGCGAATGATAATTCTGTTATTTCCAAAATGCATGTAGAGCAGCTGAATAACTAAATTTGAAATGTGTGGAGGAGCGCCATCTTGCAGAAAAATTGGGTTAATCAGGCTGCTGCTGATGATGATAGTGAAGTTTGTACTGGCGCAAGAGCCAGATTTGGCCATACTGTGCCAAACAAGGTAAATTCATGATCTAGACGTTAAAACAATGAAAATAAAATGATAGGCAAAATGGGTCAAACGAGAAAGTAAAGTTTATTGGCGCAAGAGCAAGATATGGCTATGCTGCGCCAAACAAGATTTAACTGTGGTCTAGACGAGAAAAAGTGAAGAAAAGACCCAAATTAGTTGACAAGAAGGAGGGTTGGATATAGAGAAGGATCGCTAGGATAACCCGGGGGAGCGTCACCTATGTTTACCAAAGACAGTAAACCCCATGGAAAAGAAAAAGATCCCTAGGATGCCTCAGGGTCAAGGTGCCCTTACTTACATGAAGAAGGCAAGTCCCTGAGGTCCCCTGATATAATCTCCAGGGGCAGGATGCCCGGCTCTACCCCCCAGAGTCTGGGTACCCATTTTAGTCGCCTCTTACGACATGCATGAGCGACAGTGGGACTATTCTGTCATTCCCGGTCACAACACGGGTCGTGCTAAACAGGCATCCACGCAGTTTCAGTACTGAAATGAGTTCGTTGCTCAAAAGAGATTCATAACTTGTCCTGTTGACTGTATATTTGACAAGACACGAAAGACCAACCTCCTCTGAGAAAGGGCCAACGATAAATCCACACCATACAGTTATCTTTTGAGAATGAAGAGGCGATGGTTGCATTTGGAACGGATTCTCTCTTGCCCAAAATTCTGAAATTTTGAGTATTGACCGAACCTTGGAGGTAGAAAAGGCTTCATCTGTCCCCAAAATATTGCATGGTTATGCATTGCCCACTTTTATTCGAGCAAAAAATTGCTGGTCAAAAGCTTCTCGTTCTGGCAGGTCAGCAGGAACCAACTCCTGAACACACGTAATTATAGATAGATACCCTCGCGGTATGTTTTGTAAAATTATATGATCAGTGCTGACAGGCTTGTCTTAAGTTCCAACCATTCCCCGTGCATTGCACTTTTTAAGGCGGTGCTTGATGCTTATTCCAATGCTGGAACCACATTCTCCATTGTAGTCGAAAGAATTGATTTCCTCTTTCTGCCCTATTTCACGTCAAAGGAACCCGTCTCCTCGAATTTATCAATCATCTTCTTCAGACCGAATACAGTCATCGGATCAAAGACGATTTTTAAGCCCTTTAATGTTTGGAATTTCTTCAATGCAATTACCGCGGTGTCGCCATCCTTATAAAAAAAAAAGCTTCACAAGCGGAGATCGATCCTTCAATGATAGAGTCATGACTATTTTCTCAGACTCTGAATATAAGGAACTTCATGTTCTCCTTCTTTTTATCACACGCGTAATGTGCGGTGCGCAAGTCATATCTTTTAATTAGCTTCTTAAAATTTGCATATCTTATAGAGGAATGGTTTTTAGCCTCTTATGACTAGTACAACGTCCTCTTTTTTTAAACTTTTTAAATATTTTTTTTTTTTTTTTTTTTTTTTTACCTTTCGCAAAATAAATTCCGTTGTTTCACACATACTCAAAAGGAATAACAGGTCATTCTGACTAAAAGCCTTTTGAAAGAGCAACTTTACTTTAATCACTCTATATTTAATTAGATATAGTAACAAAGTAATCAGCAAGAAATATTACCTTTTAAACTATACTCTCTAAGAAAGATTTCATGCTTATAAAAAACAAAGCCGTTTAAAAACTAAATTTTAAATGGCAGTAAAGATAATGATTAACTTATTATCTTAGTTCTTGTATTATCTTATAAGAACTGTTAAAATCTTAAGTCATGATGATTCTATGAAAACAGAAGACAAATAGATATACACGCACTACAAGTTTTATTCATATCTCCTTCCTTACTGAAAATATGTTTTTTTGTATGTTTTGTGATTCACATACTTCACTCGATTCATTTTCATTTATTATATAAGAAATTTTTTGTAATAGATTAAATTCATTTTCTTTTTATTTCGAGTTAAATTAATAGCAAAAAAATTCATATGATTTTCTGTATCGATAAATTAGTACTATATCTCTTTATTTCTTCCTTAGCTAATTGACTTCCCTATAAATAATAGACCTTTACATACGTGACGGATAAAAGGAACTACCTACACTATACAAACGCATTCCTGGAGATGTTCATAATGTAATAAATTTTTATTCGTATTTGACATAGTGGTGTTCCCATTTCTCTGCTAAGGGTACATTAAAGAAATTTTTCGAAATTACAGGATGAAATCGGGTTTCCTCGGAATGAGCCTTTAATTGTTTCGAATTAACTTGGCTAAAATAAAAAATGTGTATGAATAAAAGAAAAAAATCCCAGGAGCAGGATTCGAACCTGCGATTTGAAACACTCCTAGATGACTGACTCTCATAGACAAGCCAATAACACTGCTTTGAAGACTTCTGTCCTTCTTGACTCAGCCCATCCAAGTAGACTTGATTATTGCCGGGTTTAATCGGTCTCTCAGGTGATTCCAATTCTAGTCAAGAGTGTACACACAATACCTCTCACAGTGTTATCCGCCGTCTACAGAGAACAGCAGTCTGATGCCATAACCACTCGGCCATCCTGGGCGTTGTAAATAATTATAGTTGTTATATACTTCTATTCCTTCCTGGTTGTATTGATTTTTATCTAGGGTATTTGCGGCATTCTGGAAAAATAAAGTTATTGAATTAGTAGAGTTAAAGCATGTATACTTTACTGGGGAACAAGAATTTTTGGATGTTTTGCGATTCATACTTAACTCGAACTGTTTTCATTTAATGTAAAAATTTATTCGTAAATTATGAAATTAATTTTTTTTTTGCTGCAATAATAATTAAATACTACATAGAATTTTCTGTATCAATAAGGTAGTGCTCAATAGAATTTTTTCTTCTTGAGCAAATTAATTTGCTGAAAATCAAAAGACCTTTGCTTACATTCCTTATAAAATGTCTGTGTACTCTTTTGAAAGGCAGTCCAGAAGACATTCTGAAAATAGAAAAAGAAAAAAGTTTGTATTCCTATTTAACATAGCGGTGCTACCGTTCTTCTACTACGGGCAGCCTTCCAGAAAAGTTTTGAAATCAGAAATTGAAATTCTCATTCGGTTGTTTAGAATTAAATTGTCTAAATTCAAATTTGTAAATAAAAAAAAATGAAAGACCTCCCAGGAGCAGGATTCGAACCTGCGAATTCGAAATACATCTTGATGACTGACTCTCGTAGGCAAGCCATAACACTGCTTTGAAGACTTCTGTCCTTCTAGACTGAGCCCATTCAAGGGGACTTGATTATTGCCGGTTTCAAACGGTCTCTCATGCGATTGAGGTATTATCCAAGATTGAACACAGAAAACCTCTCACAGTGTTATCCGCCGTCTACAGAGAACAGCAGTCTGATGCCATAACCACTCGGCCATCCTGGGCGATAACGAAAGCTATAGTTGTTTTATTCGTCTATTCCTTCTTGGTTGTATCGCCTTTTATCAAGGATGTTTGCTGCGTTCTGGAAAAATAAAATAATTGAATTAGTGGAGTTAAAGCATGTAAGGAGAAACAGACATTACTCATTCCATTTTATCATTTTATGCATAAATGTAACACAATTATGTTAAATACTAAATACGTTTGTTTCACAGATATGAATGGCGTGCATCACAATTTAAACATGCGAAACTGATCATGAAGCATGCTATTTATTTCTAAAAATGCATATTTACGTAATGGGCAATATTCGATATTAGCTGAGTTTTAGAATTGGCCGTAACTTGTAATGCTGCTGTGCAAGAAATGGTTACAACCGAAATTCCGAAAGAATTGTTGTAATATCCAAATTTGTTTAGGAGTTCAAATCAAACATTCGCACTAACAGGCAATTAATAGATGTATGGAGGTTTTTATGATTCATAAATTAAAATAAATATGTATATTTAATTATTGGTAGTAACAAAGTATAATGGAAAATATCGCCTTTTAAGTTATACTCTTTTAGAAAGGTTCGATGGTGATAGAAACTCAATTCGTTAAAAATTAAATTTTAAATGGCTTCAATAAAAGCGTAACTATAAGATACTGCACAAATTCTATATATATAGACTAGAAATAAAATGACATAGAATGTTTCAAAAAATTATGTTAAATATATTTAATGAAGCGTGAATTTTTAATAAGAATTAACAACTGTGAAAACAATTAATACGACTTTCAATCGCAGTGCTTGAATCATAAACTTATTTCCTATTTTTTTAAAACAAATACAGCATTTAAAAGAAGTATATATATATATTTAAAATATTTTTTTTGTCTTTTATTATTTGTTCGTTACTTGAAATTTAAAAACATTTCAACTCTATCTAATTGTTCGTCACCATTCCTGAAGGTAAGCTTCGATCACAGGTAATAAATAATGCTATTTTTAATGCTTTTATTTTATTCTCTTATATTGAGAGCTGGCTATGTGTATAAACGTACCGTTATAAAGTAATGTCATGAAATTTTCAAGAAAACAGAAGCCAAATAGATCTACATGGCAATAGCTTTTATTCTAATCACTGCTCCATTTTTAAGAGGAATTAATTGAATGAGAATTCACAGAAGTATTTTGATGAATTTGCCAACTTAGTTACCTCAGGACATATAAAAGAACAAATTTATAGAATTCAAATATTTAATGAGCATATTTTAATCCCACCAAACAGTGTATGTACGTTTTAATGACACTTTTCATTCAAATATGAAAAAAGAAAAATATCATTTGACAGTTTTGCTGAAATCAGTTTTCCTTCCTTTTCTTCTGCAAGAAAAGAAATTCTGACTCAGTAATACATAAAGAAACATTAGACGTCCTAAATATTTTACTACCTAACTCCTTTCAATTTTGTATTTCGTCATTCTTTCATATTTATATGTATATATATATTATATATATATATATATACACATATTAAAATATTCGTTACTGACACTTTAATTTGCAATAATCTCAAATACATTTAAAAACGTCTTATTATTTTTTTTTTTATTTTGAAACATGTCTTTTTGTATATTTTGTGTTTCATACTTCACTTGAATTATTGTATAAATTATTTTCATTTATTATACATATTTACCAATAAATAGTTTCGTTAGTTTTCCTTTATTTCATGTCAAAATAATAATAAAAATGATCATGATTTTCTGTATCGCCAGGTTTATTCTAAACCAATTTTTCCGTTTCAGCTAATTAACTTCTGAAAACATGCATAGACCTTTATTTATAAATCGGTTAAAATGACTGCGTACACTCTTCAAAAAAAAAAAAAAAAAAAAAAAGACACTCCATGATACAATCTTAAAATAATATTTTTTATTCGTTTTTGATAGAATGATGCTATAGTCTTTCTACTTGGGGCAGTTATCTAGAATTGCTTCGGAATTGCAGGTTGAAATCAGGTTTTCGGAATGTTCATGGACAACTTTGTATAAAATACAATTTAAATTATGAAAAGAAGAACTCGCCAGGAGCAGGATTCGAACCTACGATTTATGAAACAGTTCTAGATGACTGACTCTCGTGGACAAACAGTAACACTGCTCAGAAGACTTCTAACTTCAAGATTCAGACTATAATTGTTAACTAACTCGGTCTCCCAATTTAAATAACACTGAACTGCCTTCCGAATCATGAGTTATCTCAGAGAGAGCCTGTCACAGTGGTAACCGCTGTCTTCAGAGAACAACAGTCTGATGCCATAACCACTCGGCTATCTTGGGAGGTAAAAAACTTCATTGTTACTTTATTCTTCTATTCGTTCCCGTTTGTAATGCCTGTTATCAAGAAGGTTTACTAAGTTTTACACACACACAAAATTGAAGTATTGGAATGAGAGCATGTAAAATGGATATTCTGTTTTATTATTAAAATGCATAAATGTGCCCAGAATTATGTTACATTCTAAATATATTTGATTCACAGACAAAAATGAGTATGAAGAATGCTAAATATTTTTTTTAAAAAAAATACTTATCTTAGAAATGGGCGGTATTAGGATTTAGATAAAATAAAGATTTGACTGTAACTTATAATGATGCTGTGTTAAAAAAAATGAGTCTCGATATACCGAAATAATTGTCCCAATTTGTTTAGAGATAGAATTCAACCAATCGTGCTATTATGTTAGTTGTTAGAAATAGAGAGTTTAATGGCATCTAAATGAAATCAAATATATAAGTAATATGAAATTATAGATGAGTGTTATATACAAGTTCATAACAGGTCAATTGAAAAGTCCCCGGCGTGACACATAGATGGCGCTACTAGAATTAAATCCATATGTGTTTTAGATAGCCCTAAAACTCAAAAGATGCGTGTATAAATGTGACAGCTGTCGGATCATTAGTTTGTGAATTACAGCATTTTGAGTGAAGCAACTTTTGTTATTGTGAAAAAAATGGATAAAAAGGAATTTCGAGTGTTAATAAAATAAAATGTTGCTTTTTGAAGGCAAACAATACAGTTGAAGCAAAAACTTGGCTTGATGCCGAGTTTCCGGACATTGCCCCAGGAAAATCAACCATCAAGGATTGGTATGCTAAGTTTAGACGTGGTGAAATGAGCACCGAAGACGGTGAACGCAGTGGACGCCCAAAAGAGGTTGTTACCGAAGAAAACTTTAAAAAAATCCCCAAAATGATTTTGAATGACCGTAAATTGAAATGGAATGAAATAGCAGACACTCTAAAGATATCAACTGAACGTGTACATCATATCGTTCACGAATATTTGTGTATGAGAAAGCTCTGTGCAAAGTGGGTGCCGCGCCAGCTCACTTTTGACCAAAAACAACGACGAGTTGATGATTCAGAGCACTCCGAAGTCCAATCGACAGTCATCCGAGTGGACTGCACACGATGAACCCGCTCCAAAGCGTGGGAAAAGGCAACAGTCGGCTGGCAAGGTTATGGCGTCTGTATTTTGGGATGCGCATGGAATAATTTTCATTGACTACCTTGAAAAAGGAAAGACCATCAACAGCGACTATTACATAGCGTTATTGGACCTTTTGAAGGACGAAATCGCCGAAAAACGGCCGCATTTGAAGAAAAAGAAAGTGCTGCTTCACCAAGACAATGCACCGTGTCACAAGTCAGTGAAAACGATGGCAAAAATCCATGAATTGGGCTTCGAATTGCTTCCTCATCCACCGTATTCTCCAGATCTGGCCCCCAGCGACTATTTCCTATTCTCAAATCTCAAAAGAATGCTCGCTGGGAAGAAATTTTCGTCGAATGAAGAGGTGATCGCCGAAACTGAGGCCTATTTTGAAGGAAAGTGCAAATCGTACTACAAAAATGGTATCGAAAAGTTGGAGGGTCGCTATAATCAGTGTATCACCCTTGAAGGGAATTATCTTAAATAAAAAAAAAACTAATTTTGCCAACAAAATGTGTTTTACTATGGTAGACCGGGGACTTTTCAATTGACCTGTTAGGTTAAGTATTCTCTTCAGTGGGAGTTTTGTGTAAATTTTCTTTATCTCTTTGGTATCCCATGTAATATTGAATTAGCGTTCTTTAAAATCTGTTACATGATTACTTTAGATTGTTCTTTTTATATTTTGCTAAGATATTTACTGTACATACAGGTAAACTTCGTATAACACGGGATTTTCGTTCCAGGTATTGCCTTTTTGAACGAATCTGCGTAATACGAAATAAAGAACTAGTACGAAAAGGAGGATTAGTTTCTGAAAATTAAAAAAAAAATTCTACGATATTTTCACTATATATATATATATATATATATATATATATAAAGAGTGAGAGAGAGAGAGATAAATATAAATCAAAATAAATATCTTAAAAAGTTTCTTTAAGAAGTAGTACTTATCTTTATGAATCTTAAAGAAAAGGCTTTATTTGTCATCACTAAATACTTATAACAGAGGGCGTTTTCTTTCTGGCAACATATCCTCATCCTCCAAACATTTTATACATTTTCTTCAAACTCATGCTCTTCCTTTTGAAAAAAAAATTCTATCGTTTTAAATTTCTTGTTTTTATTTAAAGCAAGCTATTTAAAATAACGGGGCTTAGATTGCTTGTCTTATAAATTTCCTTTTATATTCTCTAAACATCTTTCTTCATCTCTCTATAAATTTTCTTACATAGTACTAAGCATTTGCGAGGTTCCTTTTTAAATTTCGTGTTCTTTTCATTTGAAGGGTCTTTTTTCAGAAATATGACTCTAACTGTTCGGCTAAGCCTTGGCCTTTCTGTATGCTTTATAGAGTAAACTTTTTAACAACTTCGTCTTAATTTATGATATCATCCTCTGAGTTATCATTGATTCCAGATAGTATTTTGACCACACCTGTTTCTTCAATGTCTTCTTCCATCAATAATTCTTGGCAATTTTGTGCAGTCATATCGTCAAGATCTACTCCTC